CATGTGATGTGGCTGCAGAAGGCTTGTGACCTCTGGATTCAACACCCTTGCAAAAGGCATGTGCAGGTCATAGTTAAGCACATGCATAGAAACTTGGAGGTGAAGTTAGGTACTAAGCAGTGTGTGGGGGTGATCATAGAATCCTAGGACTCCAGGGCTGGAAGAGACCTCAGGAGTCATCGAGTCCAGCTCCCTGCCCAAAACAGGACCAACCTCGACTCCATCATCCCAGCCAGGGCTTGGTCAAGCCGGGACTTGAAAACCTCTATGGATGGAGATTCCACCCCTGTGACGTTACTGGGTTTTGAGAGAAGCAGCCAGATCACTGCTACACCCATGGGGGGGGGGGGGGGGTTTGCCCCAAAAAGTGATACAAAGGGGGCCATGTGAGGTGTCAAATGAAAGCTTCTTATACTGATTCCATCTATGCTATTGATGTGATTGGATAATGTCTGGGTGTGACGTTAGAAGCATGCACTTTGTGTGGATACTGAATGTTTCTCTGTATGCAGTTGAGCAATGGGCAAGCTCAGCCTATGGACATGCTGTGACAGATCGGGCCAGGTCTGGGCACCGCTGAGGGCGTCCGCTCAGGGCGAATTGCTCAAATTCGCTTCTCTCTCTAGCTCCCAGACTGGAGACCTTCCCAAACAGGCCACAAACCAGTCCCACAGAGCGCTTCAGCTGCCTGCCTGAAGCCTCACGAGCAAAACCCCTCCGACACCCCAGCAATATCCATGCCCCAGTCCAGAGTCTAGACGTACCTCGAGAGCAGGGGAGGATGGGAATATTTTCCCTGAAGCATTTGCATTTTCATGCAAAGCCATTCCCAAAGCTGTGGTAGAGCGCTAGGCTTTGTCTACACTTAAACGTTTAAAGCGCGGCGGCGACAGGGCCTTAAACCGAACGTGTGGACATGGCAGTAACGTTTTATTTGCACGTTTGCATTATACAAACAACGAATATGCAGCTATGCAAATATAATGTTGTCGGTCCGCCTAACCCCAACCCAGCCCTTCCTCCCCAGTGCCTGATATCCTTTGCCCCCCCCACGCCTACGCCACGTGCCCTTTGACCCTTTAACCTCTGACCCCACAGCCCTTGCCAACACCCCACCATGCCCTCACCCATCACCCCTTTGCCCTGACCCCACCCCGCACTCCCCAGAGCAAGGGTGCCCCCTCTAGGGAGCATGGCTTTACTTCTGTGGGGCCAGGGAGGGCAGCCCTCCATCACTCCCCTTCCTTCCCCAAATGTGTCTTGTGCCCCCAAGGGTGTGGGGGGGGGGGCACAGGGCCCTGGGCGTGCCTCTCCCCTTGTGGGTTCCTGTACCAGCTGCTCCAAGAAGCAGTCATTTAAGGTATCAAGAAATTTTGTCTCTGCATCTCGTCCTGAGGTGACATGTACTCAGTCAATATGGGTATAGTTGAAATTCCCCACTATTATTGAGTTCTTTATTTTGATAGCCTCTCTAATCTCCCTTAGCATTTCATAGTCACTATTACTGTCCTGGTCAGGTGGTCAATAATAGATCCCTACTGTTTATTCTTATTAGAGCAGGGAATTACTATCCATAACATGTTGATTCATTTAAGATTTTTTACTTCATTTGATTCTAAATTTTCTTTCACATATAGTGCCACTCCCCCACCTGCATGACCTGTTCTGTCCTTCTGATATATTTTATAGCCTGGCCTGACTGTGTCCCATTCATTGTCCTCACTCCACCACGTTTCTGTGATGCCTATTCGATCGATATCCTCCTTTAAAATGAGGCACTCTAGTTCACCCATCGTATTATTTAGACTTCTAGCATTTGGGTATAAGCACTTTAATAAAGCCAGATCCAGTCATGCACAATGTGCCCTAAGGCAGTGTGACGGACCGGGCCGAGTCTGGGCACAGCTGAGGGCGTCCGCTCAGGGCGAATTGCTCAACTTTGGGGCTCCTTACAGCCCCCCCTGACTGGTGACCTCTCCAAACAGGCCACAAACCAGTCCCACAGAGCGCTTCAGCTGCCTGCCTGAAGCCTCACGAGCAAAACCCCTCTGACATCCTTCAGCTGCCTGCCTGAAGCCTCACGAGCAAACCCCCTCCGACACCCCAGCAATATCCGTGCCCCAGATGGCCCCGGGCCTATACACAGGTGGGGGTTCTTAGCACCCAATCCCACCTACCCCAAATAAGTTCTGTCTGGTTCCAAAAACCCAGCCACAGATCCCTGGTCAATTTACCCTCTGGGTCTTGCCTACAAATCACACTGAGCCAATCCTTTAGCATCTAACATCTAAAGGCTTATTACTACAATAAAGAAAAGCATGAGAGTAAGGTTAAAGGATAGTACATTACATGCATTGAATCTCCCAGTTCTCAATGCAGGCTCTAGCAGAGATGTTATAGCTGCTGGCTTAAAAGTCCTTGTTGTGCATCCTAGGATCAGGATGGGTCCACAGTTCTTCCTGGCTCTTGAATCCCTGCACTGCTGCCTCTGGGATGAAGTGCTGAGCTGAGTACCTCGACGGAGTCGACCACATGGCCTCTTTATACATCTTTCCTGGTCTCTTCCTGGCTGCAGCAGGTCACCTGGCAAGCGGCCTATCCCTGTGTTCCCTGCTGGCAGCCCTCAGGTGTCAGCCCTCATTCTTAGGTGTGTCCTTGGCCCATTGAGTGCCATTGTCCCACAGGGCCTCGCTGATTAGCATGTCCAATGCTCTGCCCAATGCTCAACCACATGCAGGGAAATATTCAGTATCCACACCCTAACTACACACACAGACATTATAGAATCACATGACTAGCGTACATAGGATTAGCAGACAGTAAGCTCCTATTCAACACCCCACATGGCCCCTTTTATACCATTTTTGGGGCCAACACCCCCCCATGGGTGCTGCAGTGATCTGGCTGCTTCCCTCCAATTCAGTAACGTGACAGGCAGCCAGTGTCCAGGTGCATGGGACGCAGGCCCTGGCGACAGAAGAGTGGCCCGAGGCCTGAAGGGCAGCGACTCTGAGTAGGTTTCAGGATTTGAAGAGGAAGGAGACTCACCTCAGGGGGACGCAGCGGGCCGGTGGAACAGGCAAGACTAAAACCCATCTCTTCCCATGTGCCCTCCAGTTGCCTTCCGCCCAGCCCACGGCACGGCCCCTTTGGCTGCTCCTTTGTGTTGCCCTGAAGGGTCGAGCTAACACAACGCTTGTCCCAGAGGAGATGCCCACACCAGGCTCCCATGTACGGTGAGGTGACCTCTGTTCTTGCTTGTTGTGTTCTTCCCCTTTCCCCTGAGGGGAGGCCCTTTCAGCCTGACGGCCGTTGACAAACCTGCACAAAAGCTGGTCGGTCTCGGGGTAGGGGAGAGGAAAGGTCGCTGAAGAGACACCGTGTATTGCAGCTACGTCAATCGGCAAGGGAGACACGCTTGGGCTATGGAAATACAGTGACAATGCGCCTGCCATCCGGGCTGGCCCAAGGGGTTTGGGCGCTCTGGACACCCTATGACTTTACCGCCCCGCACGTTTGATACTTTGTGAGAGGCAGCGGGAGCTGGCACTGAAGCCCCTGTGTGTGTCGGGGGGGAGGCTCTGCAAACGGTCGTTCCCCTCTCCCCGCCCGCATCTGGAGGAATGGCAATGCGGGGAAGCATGTGACTGCCAGCCTCCCCCGCTGCTCCCATTGCTAGGTGTGTGGCGCTCTGAGAGCTGGGTGCCGTAGGCTGGGGGTTGTCCAACGACGGGTCGCGACCCAGCCCTGGGCGTTGGGATGCCGGGCGCTGGGTTGCATTGCTGCAGGGGATTCAGGTGAGCAGGGCAGCCCAGAAGAGAGCCCAGCTCCTAGGTGGGAGTACGGAGGAGAGGGAAGGGGGACGGGGTGCACAAAGGCTCCGTGCACTGCCCTGGGCACTAGCTCCGCACTCCCACTGGCTGGGAACCGGCCGC